ACACTCCAAAGAGAAAGGAAAACTTGAAATCGCATCATATGACCCCTTTAAGGACAACAAACACAAAGCGCATGTGAAAGTCTGTCAGTACATGAGTTTCATGCATCTAATACGTACTGCATTCCAAACGGCATAAATGAAGCATATCTAAAGTAAAAGACTAAAATAACAGCGAGTGGAAGCACAAGCAATACGGACGTGTCTCACAACGCATATTCTGTGCAATGAAGCCGGCCGCGATTGTCTCTAGCACACACACACACGTGCCATATGCGGGAAAAAGCCAAGCTCAGATTTAAAAATGGAGAGTGCATTTTTAATACTCGCGTGACAAGCGCGTATGCGAATGACGTCAATAGGCTATAATCGATTATGGTCTATTAATGCATCAATGCAGAATCGTCCACGTCTGCATCGCAATGCATTGATTAATTTCGACACCCCTAAGCACTGCCAGTCACTGTAATATTTAACTGTAACAGTAGTCAAATAACTGGAACATTAGGAATTTTTATGATTAATAATTAGTTAATTAATTGTTATAATGCTATATTATCTTTATTAAGTTTAACAGTAATTTGTCGTTATTTTATCTTCATTCACAAGTGAAAATTCCTGCTTTATTGAGCAATGGTGCCAACCGTTCTTTTGTACCACCCGGTGATGTTTTCAGGAACGAGTTTCACATGTGACTGGGTTGTATTTACCACCACCGTGGAAACAGGCATTTTGGTTCACTACCTACTATTCACAGTGCATTCACAATGAGCAAAAGATGAAAACTGATTGTAAAAAATTTGTTTTTTTAGTGAAATATGAAATTTTACCAATGCTGTCTTGAAATCCTCCTGCTGCAGCTTGCCCTCAATAACTTGAAGTTGTTGGAGAGTTGACATCGGGAAATCCTCTGAAGTTAATGTGGGGCTGTCCTCTGTAGTGGACAGTTTTTTAAGGTCGTAGACCAATTTAACTAATGTGCCCATCTGTTCTTTTAGAATTTCTTGATTATGACAGCTAGAAAAAAAAAGAAAGAAAAAAAGAAAAATACCTGTATAATAATGTAAACAAAAAAATGTATACAAGAAATATTTTAGTATTTACCTTCATTGAAATCAGTGTGGGATGATGTTGCTAAAGAAGGAAACCAGACAACAGGTAAGATATTGACTTGAACATGTTAACTGACAGTAGACGAAAGTAAAAGTTACTTCGTAAAATTTTACTCTGGGGCTCTGCAGATTTGATTTTACATAACTCTAGACTCATTCTTCCCACGGGTTGCTCTTTTGTGACTAGCTTTCTCAGTTGGTCACATAAGCACATGATTTGCACTTTGTTTTTCTTTTTTTGCTACAACATGGGATTGATCAATGCATGCTGATGAATATTTTTTTAATCATAGTTTATAATTATATTGTAACAAATGTGGTTAACTTGCAACCCGTTCTTTTTCAACAGTAGGCCTATTATTGATTTGAAGCTTGTTAATGGGAGTTCCTCTTTTTTTATGTTATAAGCCATGCTTTCGAATTCATGATCTTGGTGTCATGTTTTACAAGAAAAGAAAATTGTCTGTTTTGCTTACATCGATATAACTTGACTCCTGCTACAATGTGCTGCGGCTCTGCAGTGCACACTGTATGGAGCAGAGCAGATGTCTTGGAGCAGCGCTGACCATGCACTCGCACAAATGCAACCATGTCAAATTTTAACCTGCACATTCTCAAAAAAGTATCAATATCAGGATGGATTGCTCTTTTTGTGTTATTCAGTCGCAAATTGAAGTTAGTTTTCTGCAAAATTGACAAAATTTGATTTATTGAAGATTTGATGCTTTATAATAGTGATTTTTATAATTTCAAAATATAAAGCAAAACGTAGAAATTAATGACTAATCAACCAATAAGTCCTCCTCTGCTGCCATCTACTGGTTATAGTGGTGATCTGATTTATTTTGTTATAATGCTATATTATCTTTATTAAGTTTAACAGTAATTTGTCGTTATTTTATCTTCATTCACAAGTGAAAATTCCTGCTTTATTGAGCAATGGTGCCAACCGTTCTTTTGTACCACCCGGTGATGTTTTCAGGAACGAGTTTCACATGTGACTGGGTTGTATTTACCACCACCGTGGAAACAGGCATTTTGGTTCACTACCTACTATTCACAGTGCATTCACAATGAGCAAAAGATGAAAACTGATTGTAAAAAATTTGTTTTTTTAGTGAAATATGAAATTTTACCAATGCTGTCTTGAAATCCTCCTGCTGCAGCTTGCCCTCAATAACTTGAAGTTGTTGGAGAGTTGACATCGGGAAATCCTCTGAATTTAATGTGGGGCTGTCCTCTGTAGTGGACAGTTTTTTAAGGTCGTAGACCAATTTAACTAATGTGCCCATCTGTTCTTTTAGAATTTCTTGATTATGACAGCTAGAAAAAAAAAGAAAGAAAAAAAGAAAAATACCTGTATAATAATGTAAACAAAAAAATGTATACAAGAAATATTTTAGTATTTACCTTCATTGAAATCAGTGTGGGATGATGTTGCTAAAGAAGGAAACCAGACAACAGGTAAGATATTGACTTGAACATGTTAACTGACAGTAGACGAAAGTAAAAGTTACTTCGTAAAATTTTACTCTGGGGCTCTGCAGATTTGATTTTACATAACTCTAGACTCATTCTTCCCACGGGTTGCTCTTTTGTGACTAGCTTTCTCAGTTGGTCACATAAGCACATGATTTGCACTTTGTTTTTCTTTTTTTGCTACAACATGGGATTGATCAATGCATGCTGATGAATATTTTTTTAATCATAGTTTATAATTATATTGTAACAAATGTGGTTAACTTGCAACCCGTTCTTTTTCAACAGTAGGCCTATTATTGATTTGAAGCTTGTTAATGGGAGTTCCTCTTTTTTTATGTTATAAGCCATGCTTTCGAATTCATGATCTTGGTGTCATGTTTTACAAGAAAAGAAAATTGTCTGTTTTGCTTACATCGATATAACTTGACTCCTGCTACAATGTGCTGCGGCTCTGCAGTGCACACTGTATGGAGCAGAGCAGATGTCTTGGAGCAGCGCTGACCATGCACTCGCACAAATGCAACCATGTCAAATTTTAACCTGCACATTCTCAAAAAAGTATCAATATCAGGATGGATTGCTCTTTTTGTGTTATTCAGTCGCAAATTGAAGTTAGTTTTCTGCAAAATTGACAAAATTTGATTTATTGAAGATTTGATGCTTTATAATAGTGATTTTTATAATTTCAAAATATAAAGCAAAACGTAGAAATTAATGACTAATCAACCAATAAGTCCTCCTCTGCTGCCATCTACTGGTTATAGTGGTGATCTGATTTATTTTTTAATTTTACATAAGCGCTTGTTTACCACAAAAAAATATTTTGGTCATCCCATTAAAATATCATTTCATTTGGGTCATTTTAGAGCTATGAAGAGCTGAAAATAACAGTCTGAAATGCCTGACTTCATTTGAAAAGTGCTTGAATTTCTTTCTCAAAATGTATTGTACAAACCTTGAAAGGAATAATATAATAACATTTGACTATTTCTGCCACAACTAGAGGTCGACTGATAGTGGATTTTACCGATAACGATAGCTACGTTGGACCACACTGGCCGATACCGATAAATCAACCGATAGTTTTAAAAATGGATACTGAATGAAAACTAAAATAGTGCTTTACTATTTAAAAAAAAGCAGTAACAGTACTGAACTATACTTTGTAAATGAACAAAAACATTATTATTAATTATTATATTGATCATAAGTTATTTTATAGTTTCCTAATGTTAAAAGAAGAAACTTTAAAATGTAAAAATGTAGTCTATTAGAAATAGTAAATGTTGAAATGAACACCCTAACAAGGAACAATACTTCTACAGCTTTCATTAATGTTACAAATGGACCCTTACTGTTAAGTATTACCATTTCATTACAACAGTCATGCTTAAAGATGGACATCTTTAAATATCTACACAAGGTGATAGCATTAAAATTACATGCATAGGCTATTGATATTGTTTGCATACTAACACTTTATTTGCTTCTATTTTAGAACACTTGATAATTATCTATTCCAGATTTAAAAAAATATATGCAAGTCACACACTGTGCAAAAGCGCAGCGCTGCGTCTAGGAGAAGTCAAAGGTATCACACACCAGACACGTCATATTCAATTCAAGCAGCGGTCTAAAATGGTTTATTTAATCACCAAACAGACATAAGCTTGCTTCAAGAATGAACAATGTGTCATAAATGATTTTGAAGCTCGGTGCAAATGGAAAGAGAAAGCGCAATCTATATTACAGCTCTCTATATGAAGCATAGCCTACAGACTTTATTAGAGCCATAGAAAGACATACGTTTTGCTGAAAAATGCACAATACATGATTTATAGTCTAGGCTAGGGTGAAGTCATTATGTACATTAACAATGATTTGGGACAAATATAATTTAATTTAATGGAAAACTATGTGAATGGCGCAGCAGGATTTTCTGTCAGCTGCATTTAAATGCGTGTTTGAAGTTTCCCACTGTGCAGTGCGCAGCCTCATGTGTCAAAACAAACAACACATGCTATCAGTGATTTCTGCTTCTAGAGGCCACTCTCGCACTGTATAATGGCAGCAGACCCTTCTCAGCTGCTCCAGCAATGGACGCAACACAGAAAACTATCGGCATGAATGTTTGCTGATAACCGATAGTTCCGCCAATCAACTATCGGTACCGATTAATTGGCTAAACCGATGAATCGTTCGACCTCTAGCCACAACACCATGGTTGTAGTCAGCGTAAATATATATGATAAGCAAAAATCACAAACTGTTTTATTATTTTAATTATGGTCAGTATTGAGCTCGCAGATCACGTGGGTAGGGTCGTTTTTAAAAAACACTGAATATGCGATCATTTTGGTTGCAGTCTAGAGCACCGGGCAGTTTAAAAGTTAACTAATGGGTAATGCATGTTTTCAATATTAATTTGCCTGTTCTTAGCTTGACCACATTATTTATTTATTAGGGATGCATTAAAGATACATATGAAGCAGCTACTGATGCGATATGAAACAACTCAATTTGGATGGGAGCTATCACACTAAGCAACTGCTGTTGCTGATTTTGCCCTCCTCAGTCCGTGAATGTGTTAGTGAATGGGTACAGAAAATACTTACTACTGAAGACTTCTGACTCTCCACTTCTAAATTGTGGGGTGCGATTCCATGCTTCACTGACAGCTATAAATGATAATTGTGGGAGAGGCCAAAATTTAGCAAGCTTTTTTTAGCATATATGGGGGTAAAATGGGAAGAAAACAGTTTTATTGCCAACTCACATCCACAGGTAACTGATGTCTGTTTCACAGGTGTTGATATCCTCTTTTGGTCACTGCTTGCTCTGTTCATTGCTGTACAGGATAATGTATGTTAGATTACTGTACATTTTTATTTGTAAAGTGATTTGTTTTGGTCCCCTGATGGCATCAAAACAAGCCCAAAATATATCGTCACTACTGAAATTGGTTAACATGTTTTAAAATAAACATTTTTCAAATCCCCAATACAGTAAAACTGCACATTTTAGAGTGGTCTTTTATTGTGGCCAGCCTAAGGCACACCTGTGCAATAATCATTCTGTCTAATCAGCATCTTGATATGCCTCACCTGTGAGGTGGATGGATTATCTCGGCAAAGGGGAAGTGCTCACTAACACAGATTTAGACAGATTTGTGAACAATATTTGAGAGAAATAGGCCTTTTGTGTACTTAGATCTTTGAGTTCAGCTCATGAAAAATGGGAGCAAAAACAAAAGTGTTGCGTTTATAATTTTGTTCAGTATATGTGGGTCCCTATCCCGACAAAAAGTTTTACGGCTATGAAAACATGTCGGATAAAGACCAGGCAAAGTTCGACGTGTGGTATAGCACGGTCTCGGGTAAATTCTTCTGTTTCAGGAAGGAGTTGTACGCGTACGGCGTGAACGACATCGTCTTATTACATGAAGCGTGCATGAATTACCGAGAAGCGTTCATAGACTGTACCGAACTCGATCCGTTCAACTTTACCACTCTCGCGAGCTGTTGTATGGGGGTCTTCAAAACACATTACCTTGACAGAGACACGCTGGCTCTGACGCATGATAACATGTACGTCCAACACAGCAAGACTTACTCTTTCACATACTCGAGCCATTCGATCGATGCGTTAAAGACCAGAAACATCGACATTCACCACGCATTAAATCATGGTGGAGTGCAGATCGGCTGTTACTTTTTAGACGGTTACTACGAACAGGACGGGACGAGGTACGGGCTA